TATGTATTATGTGCTTCTGTTTTTAATAACACAGATTATTAAAAAATCTTACATGTTATGAAAAGATCCTCCTGATTCAAGAGAAAACTGTTTTTTAAGGAAATGGCTGCTTATTAATTAATCGTTAGTCAGTCTATAAGATAAATCAACTTCAGATTAATTAATCAATAACTTGCATCCCTAATTTATACAGGAATGAAATTAATTTATATCTACTCATATTCATGTAATTAAGTGTTTTAATGATTTGGCCGATTAATTGAAAAAATAATCGTTAGTTGCATCTCTAGCTGCGATGCTTTGATCTGAATTCCTCCTTATTGTAACTCCACAAGCCCCTCTTTCACACCTTTTTCTGAGGTGTGTCCCAAATCAACTCGTCTTGAGGCTGTCTCTTAAAATCCAAACAAGAGTCTGAGCCAGAGCCCGAGGAGAGTGAAGACAAACTGTAGAAGGTTTTTATAAGTTTTGTCACAAATACTGTGATGTAATAATTCAGAAAACAGAACAAACTGACCTGACTGAAACATGTGGTCCAAACAGAAGATAAAGATGTTTCCAGAAGAAGCTCAGAAATAAAACTGTGAAACTAAGTTTATTAGAAAACAGAGTATTCGTCCACTCACTGTTGGAAACTCTCCTGTGGGTTCAGAGCTCAACGAGGAGACGGAGGAGAGAGGAGAGCCAGAGCAGAGGAGGAGGAAGTCTCTCCTCGCAGCTCTGGAGCAGATTGGAAGAAGGGAAGAGGAAGATGAGGAGGAGGAGGAAGAGTTCCAGGTTCCCCAGCAGGAGAACAACAACATGTTCTCTCTAAACAAGTGCATCCTGGGAGTGGTCCTCCTCTTAGCGTTTGGCACCATCTTCTTCTCAGGTGAGCATCACTCTGAAACAGAGTGACGTCATTTTCCACTCAGTTCAGACGGTGAGTGAACGACATGCTGGGTTTGTTGTACCTGCAGGTGTCTTCATGGACCTACATGAGGGTAGGATGCTGTGGCTCACTTATTTTCTTCATTTGTTGCACAGAGCATGTGTTTGTCAGTGTGCATGCATGTATAAAGACTTTACAGAGAATACCTTAAACACAAACGTTCTGCGCTTCTGAATGCACGTCCCCCATTTTCAGCATTATTTTTGTTTTTAAACTCATTTAAAAAAAAACCACAAGGTAAACTTTGAGCCAAGAAGGACAGAAAGTGAACTTTATTAAACACTTTAGTAGCTGAAAGTCATTTCCAGCTTCTACTTAGAGCTCTGACTGATTGTAATAGAATAGAAGAAAACTGAAC